ACATAAGTTTTCGAGCTGCTGGGTTGACAGGAGCTGGGGAGGAAGCAGGAGCTCGCTCTGCTGCACGGGGCTGGGCTCCAACCGCTGAAGTGTCGACCATTTCTGGCCGGCAACTTTCAGCGTCATTAAGCCGCTGCGCCACTCCGTCCCAGCCTGTATCTATAACTACTTTCAAACAGCAGGCATGTTGTAGAACACCATGTTGGAAGGGGCAGCCTACAGTACGTTAGCCTCCTCATGCGCCAAGAGGGTCCTTGAAGGCTGAACTTTCTGTATCTAGCTGGTGTTTGTGGCATTAACTGTAACAGAATTTCTGCCAGTCTTCAACCTACAATGATAGCATTACCGCATGCTGTCACATGACAGCCTTACTTGCTCCCTTCTCCCATCTGAGAATGTGAACCTGATATCTGCGTTACCTTTACCTGTGACTTGCTCTGAAATACTGGATATCCTTGTGACTCCCAACTTCTAGCCGGAAGATGCCAAAATACCTCACATTCAGATGCTTTTGAGAATCTGAAATATACTAAGGGAAGATCTAATTGAGGTTGGTACCTCCAGGAGTATATCAGTGAGTCAGCAATGCTGCTAAGCTCAACCATCTTTGTGTGACTCCTTTCGGTGCCTGAAAGATGCATGTAACTGTGATTGGTGGCTTCCTTTCTAAAGATAGAGTTAACATACTTCTGAATCTTCAGTCAATCTTTCTTGTAGCTAAATGGTTTCTTTTGAATTTTTTTTGGAAAATTAGATTCTGTAATTTGTCTGATATGAATCTCTTGACATGGAGTTCTTTCATAAAATAGTCACTGTTTTTGTCTGCTCTCTTCTTCACTGCCTTGCTCTTTTTCTTGTCCTTGTTTTTAAGTGGGAACCTATACAACAGCTTTCTCCAACTCAGCATCCTTCCAAAATGTTGGCCAATGACTTCTGTCACTAGAGCTACCAAATGAATGAGGGCTGATGGGATTCATAGTTGAAGGCATTGGGAGAGCATTAGGTTAGAGATAGATGTTATATGGCAAGATCAAGCTGGCATAACGAAGCTGGTGAGATAGGAACCAGTGGTTCCCAGGCTAAAGAGAACAATTATGTCAATATAAATCAGATGTGTTTTAAGCAGTAGTATCTGCAGCAAAACTTAATGATGCCAGAATTACATAAGACAATGATGTCATCACACAAATGTTGCAAATATGAACTTGTACCCCAATGCCTATCACAAGTGGTTAAGTTATAGCATTTGTGTGATGAAGTACTTATGGACATATTTGTCCTCCCACATGGCACCCATGCTTCCAAGACACTGAAAGGAATAGATAAGCATCAGTTAATTCAGAAGGGCAGGAGGAAGAAGCTTAGAATCCAACCCTGGAGCATGGACTTATGTACAGCTTTCATCTCGTTGTACCGTAGCAAGCAAATCTTGTGTGTGTACAGGCAGTCCTAGTTATATAAGCCCTGATGTACATACTGTATCTCTGATATTACAGAAAGGGGTACAAGAATAGCAGCTGTTGCATTTGTGCATGCAAAAATGAAGGCTACTGTGTTTGCACACCTGCAAAATTGCTGCACTTATGTTTGTGCATGCATGGAGTATGTTGTCTAATGTGTGCAAAAATCAGCTAAATTTCCTGACACAAAACCCTTCCATAACCTGCAGACTACCTCTTTATGGCTTCATTCATGTCAGCAGCAGAGAAACTAATCTAGTCAGATTGTGTCTGAGAGCCTTCTGCTGAGTAAGCCAATTCCATAAAAAAGGGTTAAGTGTCTGGAGTGCTGAGATTTACAATCAAGTCTGGTGGGAAGCCAGACAGATAGCATATTTGATCAAAATGCTAATGGAATGAAAGGTGTCTTGATCAGGTTCATATAACCCCCTGGCCTAAGCGCCACTCTTTGTATGTGAAGAATGGCAGCTGTAGCCTATATTCCAGCTGAAGTTGCAGAAACTGCACACAAGCATTCACTGACGAGTTCAAACTCAGCAATACTTGATCTACAGCAGGCTTGTGCGTGCTTTGAAAATGATTTGGAACAAGGTTGCAGACCTTGCATGAAGACAGCTATTCATTAGAGCACCCTGACTTTTTCCTGGCTTTTAAGTGAGCCTGAAGAAATGTTGTGGCTGCCTTGAGACGGTGACTTGTCTGAGAAGCCTGAAAACAGATTGGGCTCCCTTAACGAATAACAGAGACATGTTACGCTGGTGCAAAGTTCAAAGCACTTCTTCAGAGTCATTTTCAAAACGGGGACATTCCTAATGTCTAAATATAGCCTTCTCTAACTTGGGTGGAGTCCCTAGTTTCCTATTGTGTTTCATAGCAATTGTTCCCTAATCTGCTTTCTCTTGAATTCCAGAAAACTGGATGCTTTTATCTATGATGCTGCAGTGCTCAATTACATGGCTGGCAAGGATGAGGGTTGCAAGCTGGTAACCATTGGCAGTGGGAAAGTCTTTGCCACCACTGGCTATGGCATTGCCCTCCAGAAGGATTCCAAGTGGAAGAGAACAATTGATTTAGCTCTTCTGCAATTCCTGGGAGATGGTAGGTAGTTTTCTCTATTAGTCACATTGTGCTAGCTAATATTTAGGAGAAATTACTGCTGCATCCTACTTGTTTTCTTCTAGGGTTACAATGATTTGCCAAGTTCAGAGTAGAGCTTTTTCTTTATACTATAATATACATAGGTAAAACAAAAACAAAACTAAAGGCCAAACATACAAACCAAAGGAAGAAGAAAACAACAACAGAAACATATTACATTACATACAGGGAAGATCACTCAGTCCATTTCTGAAACAGTCATTAAAACTTGATCACATGGAATAATACTGATGAATTTTTCCATTACACTAACCAGTTCATAGGTGAAAAGTGAACACCTATCACAGACCCAGGATTGTAATCTTGAGACTGCACTTTCCAATATCTAAGAATAAGCTCTTTGTTGTACTCCAAGCTTTAGTAAATCCATAGTTCTTCATATCATGATAAATTCCAATTTTTTGGTCTATAATTCAAAAGTACCTCCAGAACTTTAATATTGATCTTTGTGGCACTATTTCACGAAATGCATGGATATTGAACAAAAATGGGGAGATAGTGAGGCATATCCATAGCATATGAGTAAGTGACCCCTCAGTCCTTTAGCACACTGATTTTTCACCTTTACACCTACATTTCCCATTTCCTTTGCCAAAAACAAAGCAACGTGACTCTACAGGATAGGAAGAGGGCAAATATTTTCCCCAGAAGACAAGTGGGACCCCCACTCTCTCAATGGTCTTTTGCAAATGCACTGTTCACATATAAATTAAAATTGAATTATAAGGTGGAAATAAAAATAGCTCCAAAACTCAGAGCATGTTTTTGACAAAGTGAACTTCATTAAAATTAAGAGGATTTATTTCAGCTATTTTTTTTCTATTACAGTTAGACAACGCCTATGAAAGGCATCATTAGTTCTTACTTGGGAACCTAATATATGGGCTAAATGTTGTCGTATTCACCAACATTCATTTTGCCCATTCTATGTTTTCCTCAATATTTTCTTCTGGTGCTGAATGTTGGTGATGCATTCCTTAGTCATTAGAGAAAATGATGAAAAGGTTTTGGAAAGCTGTTCTCTGTCCTGCTAAGATTCATATTAAATCAAGCTGAACTCCTGGCAGTTCCCTGAAAAGGTCTCTCTTTCTTCACTTCAGTAGGAATAAAATTTTATGCTATTTCAGCAGCTTTAATAAGTGACTGATGTACTATATGTAAGCATGCAAGTATGTGCTTACGTATAAGAACTAGGGAAGTTTAGGAGAAGCCTTTTATTGACCAGACGTAGACGGAGGCTAAGAAAAGAGGGAAGCAACAGAAATATTAATGCCACTTACAGGGACTATAATAAATTAAAAAACAGACTTGGGATCCCTATGATATGTCTTGACACATGCTGCATAGAACGCGTCTTTCTCCAAAGCACTCTTATTTAGCTCCTATTTACTGGCTAGATAGTAAAGTATTCATATACACAAATGGAGGCAGAAGGCATCTAGATCATAGTTCCTAACAGAAGTCCTATTGCAGTTCCTGCTTGTGGGATTCCCACTTGCCCACTGTGCAAACACAGTGCTGAACCAGGTGTGCCTTTAGATCTGGCTCTCTGACCTCTTGCAGGGATGGCAAGTGAAGAGCACTGGGTATGTCCTAGTTACCAGCTGTCACTAACTCAAAAAGTCACTGGCTCATGCTTGCCTGGATGCCATTCTTGTGAAAGAGACACCAAACTAACGTAAAGGTAAAGATAGATTTAACAAAAGCACACTGCATGGGCACTGATGAGCTTTATATATTCAGTTCTGTACTTTAGCATTTGCAGGTTTTAGAGGCACGTTCTGGCTTAAACTGCAGCTTTACCTATTAGCAGACTGAAAGTTTCAGTATGGCACTGAGCTCCAGAAAATGTCTGCTTTGGAAGCTTATAAAGATCCCCCTCGACTCTATTCTAATTGTCTTTCATCTTAATTGAGGGCACCACTACATTTGATACGTTCTCAGTGTCTGATTCAAATAGCTGTGAGGCAGAATCTCATGTGCTTTGCTTCTAATCTTCTGATTCGAATGAGAAACTGACAGTAAGGCAAGCGAGCAGGTCGCTACCCACTCCTGCTGTTCCCCTGATCTGAAAGGCTGCACCTGCCAGCTGCCGGAGGCTACGAACTCCATGGGAGTGAGGAAAGATGATAGATAGATACACCCTCGTTCTCTCGATCAGATTAGCGACTCCAGCACTGCTTGGAAGTTAAAACATGAGCATGGGTAATCAGAATTGCATTTTGCCTGTATCACCGGTTCAGCCGCATAAATGCAGAAATAGCAAAGACAAAAAGCAAAAACAGGCAAATATGATGCGTTGTAGGAGAAGAAGCTACCACTACCTTTTTTTCACCTCAAATCTGGCCAGGTTAAAATGGTCGTTTTGGATAGACATTATGAAAATCTCACAGCACAAAACTTTTTCAAAACAAGACATGTGTTTTCTCTTTTCTAAGAAATTCTTGCATCCCAAGAAACAAATGTTTCAGGAGTGTTAAGAGTTGGTCCATGAAGGGGAAGATGTTTAATGTCAGAGGGATTCTTTAGCTAGAGGTATCTCCTCTTCTACCCTTTGTCTGTCGTGTGTTGTTTTGCAGGTGAAACCCAAAAACTGGAGACTGTGTGGTTGTCTGGTATCTGCCAAAACGAAAAGAACGAAGTAATGAGCAGTAAGCTAGACATTGATAACATGGCGGGTGTCTTTTACATGCTGCTGGTGGCGATGGGGCTCAGCCTGCTCGTCTTTGCTTGGGAACACCTGGTGTTTTGGAAGTTGCGGCATTCCGTCCCAAAGTCCCACAAACTTGATTTCCTTCTGGCTATAAGCAGGGTGAGTATGTTCCTGCACAGGCAGTGCATTTATTTATATATTACTTATTTATTACATTTGTATGCTGCCCGACTCCCAACACCTCTGGGTGGCTCACAAGGAAAATAAGGAAGAAGGAGGAGCAGCAGCAGCAGGGGAGGAGAATAATAATTAAAGATGGCAAAGATAACAAGAATGGAAAAAAGAAACAAACCCCCAGTATTCAAGGAGATTTCACTCAACCTCGCCAAAGCATCAGGTCTTCAAGCCCCTTCAAAACACCACTGGGTGAGGGCCATCTAGGTCTTGGTGTGGTGGTGAAAGTGCTGGCCTGGAAACCAGAAGACTGTGAGTTCTAGTCTTCTCTTAGGCACAAAAGCCAGCTTGGTGACTTTGGGCCATTCACTCTCAGCCTGACCTACCTCACAGGGGTGTTGTGGGGAAATTAGGAGGCAGGAACATTATGCAAGCTGCCTTGAGTTGCACAAATGAAAGTGGGATATAAATCTGATGATCATACTAATAATAATCAAAATTCCTCTTCCATTCCCCAGGAAATGTTCTGCATCTTTTAGGAGTATTCTTTCTTATAAATGTTAATTAAAAATGAACCATTTAAATTATTCATTCATTCATTAGATTTATGTTCCACCTACTGTTCAGTGTGCTCCTTTCTCCAATTTAACCCCCACAACCACCATTCTGAGGCTGTTCCACATACTGCACTAAGAGTAATGTGTGGACACAGTCACTATGGTTTATGAAAGATGGCTTATGGTTCAGCACTTTAGGTTCATCCAGTAAACTATGACTAAAGCATGGGTTAGCATGAGGTGTAAACCCACCCTGTGAGATAGATTAAGCTGGAAGAGAGCAATTCCCCCAGCGCGCCTGTTCCCAGTTCAACAGCCTCATCACTTTGCTACATTGCTACTTTCTGGATTTTAGAGGGAACATCACCTTACGGAGGGTAAAGTCCTATGCCAAAATTGACTCTACATATAATATATTTATCTATATTATTTTTAGGGGTCTTTTTCTTTTTCTTCTTTTTCAACATTTATAAATAATAATATAGTTGTGATTTTGGCATTAAGCCTAACAATTTATACTGTACTTGTTTTTATATCATGAAAACAGCTCAATGGATTCTGCTTGGTGTCTTCTACTAATGTTATACTGAGCATTAATGTATAACTTCAGTAATTATCTGCCCATTTATATATATTATCTCTTTTGAAAATACATCTTTGTTTTAAATAAAAATAAAAATAAGTATGCAGATGAAAAAAGAAACAAATAGAATAAAAAAATTGACTCTACATATTAGGACAGTTAGCAAAAAATTAGGATGCATATCCACAAATAATATGGCATCATCAATGTGCTCAAATGCTCTAGGTTGTGAGTTGCTAAGACATTCCCTCAGAAAGCAAATTTGCTTTTCAGAATACGTGGGAATCAGAATTACAGCCTGCCAATGGGAGAGCACAAAAACACATGATGCTCTGTTACTCTCTTTAAAGTGAAATTAGTTTTTACTTCCCATATTTTGATTAAAAATTTCTAAAACCTTTGTGTGTGCAAGAGATAGGAGATTTGTTTCTTTCTAGATGCAGAATATCCCTGTTCATCTGGTCTTTGGGTCTCTAGAGATATCCACAAAAAAGGAGGTTATACTTGAACATCAGTTTATGGACCAAAGGCTTAGGGTACAATTGATGGGGTACATTTTCAATAACCTGTCTGGATTGGAAGTTGTGATAGAAGCTGAAAAAGAATTTTCCTTTGGAGCAGAACCAGCTGGGAAATCTGGGATAAATTTGTTTTTCCCTTGGTTCACTTGCCAGGTTTGCAGCTTTAGGTCTGTCTGCTCAAAGTGCTGCCTGGTTCATAAATCAATTAAACCCAGCTCCAGCTAACTGATGCGTAAGGGGCAAGCTTATTTGTTGCTCAATCATTTGTTCCCCCACATATGCCCTCTTGCTCTCTGCAGGTGGCTTAAATCTTATTAAATTTATGACAGCTTAAATACTTAGCAAGAGTCCTCATGAAACTGGGTAAGTAATAGTAGTCTGATTCCAAACAGCTCAGTAATTCTGGTAGGAAGTAAGTTATTTTGGCTGTCTTCACTCACAATAAATATGTATCGTGAGGTGGAGCTGCAAGTTATCTGCATGTGAGTGTTTTTAGGCAATATAGTCCCATAAAAACTAAAATTATTGCCAGTTCAGATGATACAATAAAATCTGCAAGTTGATTGTGGGAATTAGCCCTATGCATATAAGACTTGAGGGTTTTCATGTTTATAACTGCCACATTTTTAAGCAGAACATTTTCCATCCAATATCTCAACTCCCTGAAGAAGTTGTGCTGGTTTTCAGACTTGCACAAAGCAGACCAGCAGAGGGTTCTTGTGTTTGGGCAAGTCCTTTAGTCCTTCTGCCAAACCACTTTTGGAGAGTTCGCAGCCTTACTAATAACCCCATCCTAACAATTGTCCCTAGTATAGATGCATGAAGTGGGACCTTCTGTCACAATTTCTAAAAACAAATTCAGGAAGGCGCTGCTAATGTTAATTTGTGTGAAATGTATTTGAAAATAAAGCAATCAGAAAACAGTTTCCACAATTACTAAGAATGAAAACAACCATGCTATTGAATAGGTATTTATTTGCCTGTCTAGCTCTATTACAGTGGGGCAAAAAAGTATTTAGTCAGCCACCAGTTGTGCAAGTTCTCCCACTTAAAAAGATGAGAGAGGCCTGTAATTTTCATCATAGGTATACCTCAACTACAGTGGGGCAAAAAAGTATTTAGTCAGCCACCAATTGTGCAAGTTCTCCCACTTAAAAAGATGAGAGAGGCCTGTAATTTTCATCATAGGTATACCTCAACTACAGTGGGGCAAAAAAGTATTTAGTCAGCCACCAATTGTGCAAGTTCTCCCACTTAAAAAGATGAGAGAGGCCTGTAATTTTCATCATAGGTATACCTCAACTATGAGAGACAAAATGGGGGGAAAAAATCACAGTGGGGCAAAAAAGTATTTAGTCAGCCACCAATTGTGCAAGTTCTCCCACTTAAAAAGATGAGAGAGGCCTGTAATTTTCATCATAGGTATACCTCAACTATGAGAGACAAAATGGGGGGAAAAAATCACAGTGGGGCAAAAAAGTATTTAGTCAGCCACCAATTGTGCAAGTTCTCCCACTTAAAAAGATGAGAGAGGCCTGTAATTTTCATCATAGGTATACCTCAACTATGAGAGACAAAATGGGGGGAAAAAATCACAGTGGGGCAAAAAAGTATTTAGTCAGCCACCAATTGTGCAAGTTCTCCCACTTAAAAAGATGAGAGAGGCCTGTAATTTTCATCATAGGTATACCTCAACTATGAGAGACAAAATGGGGGGAAAAAATCACAGTGGGGCAAAAAAGTATTTAGTCAGCCACCAATTGTGCAAGTTCTCCCACTTAAAAAGATGAGAGAGGCCTGTAATTTTCATCATAGGTATACCTCAACTATGAGAGACAAAATGGGGGGAAAAAATCACAGTGGGGCAAAAAAGTATTTAGTCAGCCACCAATTGTGCAAGTTCTCCCACTTAAAAAGATGAGAGAGGCCTGTAATTTTCATCATAGGTATACCTCAACTATGAGAGACAAAATGGGGGGAAAAAATCTCTTTGGATGCAACTCAGCATTCTCTCTCCTCGTTGAGGTATACCTATGATGAAAATTACAGGCCTCTCTCATCTTTTTAAGTGGGAGAACTTGCACAATTGGTGGCTGACTAAATACTTTTTTGCCCCACTGTATATTTTATACTGCATGCACATTTTCAAGTCCTTTTGTCTTTTCCATTATATACACCTTAGCTAAGCAATGAAAATACTTAAGTTTCAACTCATGTGTGAATAGAAGCCCAAGAAAAAATAACTATTTATACAATTTGGGTAAGTTTTTATATATTAAAATATCATACATTTCCAGTTGTTGTCCTTGTCTGTAAATTGCTTGAATTAAACTCATGCATTTGAGAAGCACTTTCAGAATTCTAGTTATCTGAAATTTCTTAACCAACCATTAGATTTGTTGCATCCCATAATAATCATTATTAGGGTCCTCAAGGAATGTCATTTTACAAAATTTAATTAAGCAGGTACTTTAAAGCAAACACTTCAAAGGACAGAATGAAGACAGTTAAGAAGCTGACAACTAGAACACAGGATTCCGTACCGAGAAATGAAGAGAAGGTGGTTTTATTACGTTTTAACATGTGCCTGAATGAGCAACCCACTGCGGGAGAGGGAACAGTTCTTTCCAGTCACTATTTAGTGAGCTGTTGGATCTTCATCGTGGAATCAAGATCTTCCACATAAGACCAATGCCTGAAAAGAAATGAAAAAGGTCTGTTCACATCTCCCCTGACTAATTTTAGTCGAAAATGCTTTCTCTGTGTCTTCACACTTCAAGGATGAAGAATCTGATATATAGGATGGCTGATATTAAGTCAATGGTTTTAGCACTTAGCTTTCTTATTTTTGCTCAGATAAAGGAGATTACTCAATATTTATGAGGCCTGTCCTGGAAAAGAAAACATAGAAGTTTAGCTTAATATCAGCATCATCATGGTTCATTCTTTCCCAAGACATTTTTTCATTCTGTTCCTATTTCCTCTTGTATTCCCAGGGCATTTACAGCTGTTTTAATGGAGTCCAGAATCTGGAGAGTCCTGTTCGTGTTTACAAGCCAGATGTCACTGCTAACTCTGCTCAAGCCAATGTGCTTAAGATGCTGCAGGCAGCCAAGAACATGGTATCGACCGCCAGTGTTGGGAACTCACTGGAAAATGCTACGCGCACCATAGAGAACTGGTCCAATAGGAGTGAAAACTTCCAAACAACTTTCTCCTTAAGGACTCCTCAACTTGTTGTTCAGAACGCTAGTGGGCCAAACAGGCCAGCTCATTCCTCCAGGACTACAACCACTGAGAACCTTGGGAGACCTGTTCCACCTCTGCTTCTGGCACCTCAGCAAACTGTGGGACCAGCCAGTGAAAGCTGCAGAGAGACAACTGAGCACCCACAGATTCTTCATCCACTGAAATTACACAGCAACTACTCTGAAGATAAGATTCTTTCAGGTTTCACCATGTACCACTCTCCACAGTACTTGGTAACCACATCTCAGGCTAATCTCAGAAATCACATTCCACTAGGAAGTTCCCTTAGTGATGCCCCTCATTCCCCAGTAAGGACTCTTCAGGAACTTTCTCCACATGAGCATAAGCATAAGCTCCCCATGCCCAGAGGCCATGGGAAACAAAAATTCCACCAGAATGATCACCTGTATAAAGAAGGTGAGCACAGCAGTTCAGCCCAGGGGTCAAGGCTAGCTTTCTCTTCTGAGAAGAAAAAGAATTTGGAAAGCCACTACTTGCCTCATCCCTGTGTATATAATTCCTTCCCAAAGGACAACAGAACTTGCAGACCCTTTGCACATAAAGAATATGACCCACTAATGCTGGGGAGAGAAAAGGAGACCTATACAGCTAGTCTCTCAAGATCAACCTTGGAACAGCATGAACAATTTCATTCTCTAGGCCTCTGGAGGCATCCTCGAAAGTGTTCTAATCCCAGGAGTATCCTGGACTTTTTCCCTAAAGCTAGCCTAACCCCAAAACCGCTGCCTGGAATCCATCATGGAATCTATCACTATTCTCCTGATACCCTTAGGCCAAGCAATGCATGTAATAGGAAATGTATGCAGGCCAATAGTTTAAGTTGGAAGGACAATCAGCTGCTACATTCACCATCTATGAGGCTCCCATCATACCGGGAGGCCTGTCTACAGAACATCTCAGGCATACACAGGGCTTCTTCAGCTGTAGTGCAGAAGCAATATGCTTATGTGAACTCCTACCCAAATCTACCTATCTACTGGGGAAGCTTTCATCCAGGCTCCTCTCACCTCTGTAAACAATCCAGTGCCACCCAGCATTGTTTCAGTCAGGCTTCCTGGCCCCCATGCAGCAGGGATCTCTTGGTCCAGGAGGATGGTCAGAGGGCCATGTACTTTGATAGCACACCGACAGACTGCAGGAACCAGAGCAGAGTTTATCCGACATTTATTCAGATGGCCAACACTGAGAGGAGGAATGTGTTAACAACCCCAAGGATGCACAGCCCTTATGCAACAAGATCTTGGAGGCGCATATTGAGCCTAGAATCTGAAGTCTGATCATGGACGGGGAGGGGGGGCAGAGGATGATGCTAAGAGTGCCTGTACTTGATACATAACTATCATTCCCATACACAGGAAACAATTTGTGTGGGGCAACTCTAGAAATAGACTCGTATAGGCAACTGACCAACTATCTAAACTACTGATCTCCTTCTCCCTACTATACTGGTATCAAGAAAAAGTCATGGTCTCTTCTATACACAAGAGCAAGTGACCTTTCTCTTTTGTCTCCTGATGGATTAAGAACAAAGCAACAGTAAACCCCAGTTGAAGGCACTTTAATGACTGCATTCCAAAGTCTTCCATTGCTAAGCACTGGAACACTCATTCCATGCAAAAGACTCATGGTGGTGATTCACAGCATGCTGCCTCTGTGGATAGCTTAAGATACATTGGTTCTAGCGTCAAACATCTGCATTGCAGTGCCAGCTATTTTTCAGAGCATGCTGTCCATGACACAGCTGGAAATGGCCAACAGCTTCCTAATAAAAATTAGGACTATCTTGTTTTCCCATATGCACTGATATAAATGGAACTATATAAATGATTAACAGGCACATACTATTATTTTTATTGTTTTACATTACCCTCTGATTCTTCATAAAGAGTCCCAAATGCCATGTCTTAAAATGTATTAACTTCCCTTTTCTTTCTTCCATGTTGCTTTTGGCTGCATTGGCAAATGTTGTCTTCCACACTATCCCTAAAACTGTAAAAAAGGCTGTCTTGCCATTTTTTTAAAAAGTATCATATAAAAGACATATTTAAAACAATAGCTGCTATTGCCACATCAGATTTGAATTGCTGGGCAGATACAGGTGCCGGGAAAGTATTAGTGAGAATATGATTGTTTCATTATGTAGACTAACACTCTGGATTCCTCCATGCTTTTTCTTACCCTGAGCATGACTAAAGAGTCAAATTCAGGCAGAAATATTCTTACATATGAAGAAAGACATTAGGAGAAGCAGCTGTGTAGCTTCCCAGTTTTGGATGAGGCATTTGTAGCAGCCTAGAGAAGGCACTCAATGGCCCTGTTGACCATTTTTAAAAACTACTCATGTTATCAGCAGATGCAGACTGGCTTATTAGTTTGCAAGTAAAATGAGATCACCAACATACAAGTTTTTTATGTATTTGGGGAATTCTGGAAGCATGCTGAAGCTTATAGCTGTAAATTAAAAGACAATGTTTTGGGATTTTTTTAAAAACCAAGGGAGCCAACAAGTGCTTTCAGAACTAATGGGATGCTGATGACAGATAGTTGAGCCTAGGGAAAAACAAGCAAACAAACAAATGAAAGCTATCTCACTCACATTGTCTGCAGACAGAGTTGCCAGATGTATATGATGTGCAAAAAGGAATGTTCTTTTTTGCTACCATCTTTTGTTTGGGGGTGGAAAGGCCTAACAACCTTGCCATCCTTGTCCCTGTAAGTAAGCTGTTCCAGAGGAGGGGGCCATAAGAGAAAAGGCTTGTCCCCAGGCCCTCTCTTGCTGAAACTGCCAAGGAGGAGGTGCCCATTGCATGCCCTCTCTATTGGCTCTTTCAGGTGGGCATATGCCACTCAGAGTAGACAGTCCTGCAGATAAGCAGGTCTGAAGCCATACAGGGCTTTGTAGAAGTTAATCAGCACCTTGAATTGCACTCAGAAGCTGAATGGCAATCAGTGGCACTTCTGCAATAATGGTGTTACATGGCTAAAGCAGGATTCACCTATTATCCTGTGTGGCTGGATTTCAAACCAGCTGTAGCTTCCAAATGGCCCTCAAGGGCAGCCCCATATTAGAGCGAATTACATTAGTCTTGTTGTGAAGTGACAAGGGCATGAATTACCATCAATAAAGCTTCTTGTTCCATGAAAGGCCACAGCTACTGCACCAGCAGAAGCTGGAAAAGGACTCTTCTGGCCATGGCTTCCACTGTTATTGCAGCAGGAGTCTTGAGTACAGGAGAAGCTCCAGATTGCAAGCCTGCTCCAACAGGGGAGCACAGCTCCGTCTTGAGTCAATTTGGAAGTTCTCTGGAATCAGAAGACTTTAATTCAACAGTGATTCCATCTTTCTGGGATTAATACTAAGCCTGTTTCTTCCCTTCCAGGCCTTGACAGCCTTCAGGCACCAGATCAGGACTTCGATAGCATCCCCTGTTTGGTTCAAGGTGTAGATATACAACTGGATTATCATCAACATGCTAATGATACCTCATCCATGCCTGTGGAGGACCTCCCCTAGGAACTTTGGTTAGACACTAAATAATAAGAGGGAAAGGGCTGAACCCTGGGGCGCCCCACCTGCTCTGGAAGGAGGAGAACCACTACAACTCAGTGCTGCCCACTCCTAACCCTTGCAGGTGATCTAGAAGGATATCGTGATTAATGGTAGTGAAGGCTGCAAAGAGGTCTAGCAGGACCAGAAGCTTCACCCTCCTCCCATCCAAATCCTGCCACAGGTCATCTGCAAGAATGATCAATGCAGTTTCAATCTCATGGCCAAGTGTGACTCCAGACTGAAAAAATTCAGACTGAACATGCTATGAATCCATTAATAAGGAATGAAAAATAGTTAAGATATGGAACTTTAGGATGAAAGGCAAATGAAATGGAAGGCATTAAGTGAAAGTGAATTGACTTATTTATTCCTTTACAAAATGAGAATAAGTATCCTGGGAAGTGTGCTGTGAGATTTAAAGAAGTCATTTCCCTGCACTATACAGGAAAATTTCTGGGGGGGGGGGGAAGGGGGGTTTTTTTTCCTTTTCCCACCACCATTTGAAACTAAAATGCTTAGAGTTGAAACCTGGAGTTAGCCTTCCAGGTGAATCTTTTAAAAATATACA